AACCTCTGTGGGTGTTTTCCGGCGCCGGAATTTCTGGCATGCTGATGTTGTAGTGGGCTGACCATGGAAGCTACTGAAGGGCATTAAAGACAATCCATTGGATCCTTGAGCTAGCCTCCTTGCCCTGGAAACGCCACTGGAGGATTAGAGGTGACATATCCATGCTGCACACCTATGTGGTTGCCTGTTTGTTAGCCTGTGTAGAGGTGTGGGCCTGCCATCCCAGCACTCTGGAGACAGTAGCTGGAGGATTGGGCTGTGTCGTGAGACTGTCACAAAAAGTTAGGCTATCACTTGGTGATTGTCTTTTATCTTAAAATATTGGTTTTTACTTGACGTGTATAAATGTTTTGCCTGCATGGATATCTGTGTACCATGTGCATAGAGTGCCCACACAGTCAGGAAGAGGGGGGCATTGGATCCCCTGGAACTGGGGTTACAGATGGTTATGAACCATGATCTGGGTGCTGGGAATTGAACCCAGGTCCTCTGTAAGAGCAATAAGTGTTCTTAACCACCGAGCCGTCTTTTATATACTTATAAAGTACATTCATTTTGTGTGGAGGTCAGATAGCTTTCAGGAGTTGGTTCTAATACCATGAAGGCTCTGGGAACTAAACTCATCAGGGCTGGCATCGAGTGCTTTTACCTGGTGATCCATCCACCAGCCTGTTTGATTTTATTTAAAAATTTTATTTCATGTGTATGAGTGTTTTGCTGATGTGCAAGTGCATCGAGTGAATTCCTGGTGCCCAGGGAGGCCAGAGTGGTGCTGGATGCTCTGGAACTGCAGCTACGGGCAGTTGTGAACCGCCATGTGATTAACAACTGAACCGTCTCTTCTCTCATTTTGTACCCCTGGACGGCCTGGAACTTGATGTGGTCCAGGATTGCCTCAGTTTCCTGGGTGCTGGCATCACAGCTGCAAACCATCATGCCCAAATAAACTTCTAACACTCATTGAGGCCTCAGCAGGAGGCAAGACCATCGAAGCTTGGACACTTCTCATTTAGAAATATTTCAGAGCTAAGTACAGAGGGTGGAACATTCTACAGCATAGCAAGCTTTCTGATTTAGATGGAGAGATCCCTTTTCCTGAGTGGGGGCGGGGGAATATGTGTGTGTGTGTTAGTGTCAGGGGTAGGATATCACTACACAGACCTAGCTGGTCTCAAAATCCATCCTCTACATGACCAAACATGCCTGATTATGTGTGTGTGTGTGTGTGTGTGTGTGTGTGCGCACACACACGCGCTAATTGTAGGTGTGGATGCAAGTGCCTGTGTTTTGCTTTCAGGTAAGTGAGCACCACAACTGGAGAGTATGGAGGTCAGTATCTACTGGAATTGGAGTTACAGATGGTCGTGAGCTGCCATGTGGGTGCTGGGAATTGGACTCTAGTCCTCTGTAGGACCCAGTGCTTCTAACTGCTAAGCCATCTCTCCAGTCCCTCATCTGTTTTATCCTGGAGCTCACAGACTGGCTAGACTGGCTGGCCCCAGGCCCCAGGGTCCTCTCATCTCCGCCTCCCCAGTGCTGGGAGTATAGTACTAGGCCATGGTTTTTACATGTAGTCTAGGGATCTGACTTCAGATCTTCATGCTGGCATGACAAGCACTTGGGCCACTGAGCCATCTCCCAGCCTCCATGTCTGGCTTTTGAGAAAGTATTGTTATGCTTACCAGTCTTACTGACTGCATGGGCTGTCGTGCCTTGTTTTTTAAGTGCTGAGGAGTGACCCGGTTTGTGTAGGCTGAACAAGCACTCTACCAGCACTGGAAAATGGTCTTGAATTTTCTCATTTAATCCTTTGTACAGCTGAGGGGCAGGTAACTGTGGGTGACTCCCATTTTAAAAGGAGAAATTTTTGTTTTTGTTTTTTCAAGACAGGGGTCCCTGGCTGTCTTGGAACTACCTTTGTAGACCAGGCTGACCTTGAACTCAGAGATCCTCCTGCCTCTGCCAGGGGTTAAAGGTGTGCACCACCATGCCTGGCAAGGAAATTTTGATTATTATTAATAATAAAATGAAATAGATCACAGAGTTTAAGGTACTCTGGGAAGGTTAGAAGTGCTTAGATTTAAACTCGAATTACCTGCTTTGCGGAATCTATCGAGTTCCAAGCAGCAAGATCGCCAATGCCCTGAGGTCATAAAGAGATGAATGGTAGGGTAAGGAGACTATTTAAGCGGGAAGTTTTCTGGTCATTGCAAAGCTGTAGGAAGCCACTAGGAGGTTCTAAAAGACAGAAATTCTTTGGAGGTCCTTCACGCTGCTCGTAGGCGGAGGCTGGCAGGAAAAGGCAGGACTGAGGCTGTTGGAATAGTGAACAAAGGGCCGATGTCTTTTGGCTGCTAGAAAAATGCTTCTATTTGGCTTAGGAAATACAGTTTGTAGCCTGCATGGGAGACAGAAAAGGTTTCTGGGAGTAGAGGAAATGATACTCTCAGCTTAGGACGTAGGGTCATCACAGACACCATGGAGGGCAACAAGGTTGACGCGGAGCCCGATCGGAACCACCCCCTACCACACACTAGCAGCTAGCATGCCTCCCAGACCTTTTTTGTTAGTCTTCCAGGTCGGTGCTAGGACCGCGCGAATGCTCTTTGCACGTGAGTCACCAGTGGGAGGGGGCGCATGCGCACTGCGGGGGGGGGGGTTTAGACGCTCTGCCCTGGCTCCCTAGGCTGGGTCAGAATTCGTCACGTGTTCCGCTCAGGCTCCCTGCTCACGTGACCGCAGCGCATGTCAGCTGATGCGACCGGGTTTGAAGCGGCGCCGGGAGGGAGCGAGGCCGCAGTGACCGCGGCGCGCGCTGGGACCCGCCCGCGTCCCGCGCTCACCGTGCGGCCATGGCCACCGCGGCGGGCCGGCGCGGCTCAGGTGAGCGCGGGCGGCGGGAGGGCGCGCCCGGCTCCTCGACCTCGGACGGCTAGCACCCAGCCTTCCAGCACCCAACCTTCCGCTCCTCAAGCCCAGTGCGGGAGAAATGGGCGTTCGGCTTCTGGAACCTGGGCGGCGGGTGGGCACCAGTATCTCCAACCTTAGACGGAGAGCTTCCACAGATCCTAGAATCTGGGTGTCGGGTGGTTATTGACATATCTGACCTTGGGCGGGGAGCATCCAACTTAAGGTTCTGAAGTTCAGTGAGGACTTCTCTGCGTTCCTATGGGAGAGAGGTTGACAGATGCCTCCTAGAACCTGGGCAGCGGGTGCGCATCGACATCCCCGACCTTGGGTGGTGAGCGCCCAGCATCCCGTTCGTCAAGTCCAGTGCGGACTTCTCATCTGCTCCCTGGGGGATAGAATGGCAGAAGGCTCATAGATCCTGAGCGATGGGCTCCCAGTTTCCAGTTCTGAAGTTCTTCAGAGTCCCCTTGGGAACCCGGGTGGTGGGTAGGTACCAGCATCTCTAACTTCAGGTGGAGAGTTGCCTAGTACCCAAAACCCAGGGAGTAGATGGGTGCCAGCTTCGCTTGGTCTCAAGCAGTGCACAGCTCCTAGGATTGGGTGGTGGGTAGACACTGTCTTCCCCAACCTCTGATACTAAGCTCTCAGTTTTCTCCCCTAAAGTCTGCTCCGACTTCTTAGCTGCACTATGGAGGAGACATGGACAAATGGTTTCTAGAGCAGTGGGTGGGCACCAGCCTTTCAAACCTCTGGCAGAGAACATTTTTTTTTTTTTTGTCATCCTGAAGGCCAGTAGAAACTTAGTTGCCTTATTAGAGAGAGGCAGATAGTCGGGAGAACTTGAACTGTGGATGGACATGTTTCTCCAGCTTCAGACAACAGGACTCCTGATAACTCCACCTCGATTGTGCTGGGATTCTTCGAGTGTGTCACCATGGATGGTTTTGCTATTCTGGAGCATTTCTTTCCAAGTTGTATATGACCTATGACTGTTGCCCTCCCCAACCTAGTCTCTGCTCAGAGTTTGTGAGCCCAGGCAGGCAGCAGGCCCACTGCCAGCATCCCCATTAGGACAGTATTTGAAACCCAAGGATTTTGTTAGTGGTTGTTTTGATTCGTTTGGGATCAGTGATGTATTCTGTAGGCCAGACTTGAACCTGTTTTAAGACGGGCTTTCCCGGTAGCCTGGAACTCTGACATCTTCCATCCTCTACCTCCAGACCGCTGGAGTCACAGGAGTGCGCCATCACACCAGACTTAAATGTGCGATCCTCCTTCCTCAGCCTCTGAGCGCTGGGATTACAGGCCTAAACAAGTCTTCCCCCTCCTCTTCTGCTTCCTCCTTCTGGATTGAACCTAGGGCCGTGCTTACTAGGCAAGCACACTGCCACTGAGCTGTGTCCCCAGCTGTAGCCAAAGTTCCAGTTGCTCAGTTTGCTGGAACTCAGTAACTTTCACATGAGTTCCAAGGCAGCTTGCTTCTGACAGCCAGATTCTAATGCTCGGGTTCCCTAAATGCAGGCAGGAAGAGAGTCAAAGGATGGCCTTCATGAGTCTAGGGAACTAATTCAAATTACAGCTCCTCATAGCCTGTGCAGTCTTGCCTTCCTAAACTGAACAGTTGTATGATTCCAGGCCTGTAATGGGGAAATCTGGGGTGGAATCTCTTGTACTGTGTACTGGTGCAGACGCTCCTGTGGGAATCCTGGCCAGTAGTGCCTGGGATGGGTTAGCTGTGCTCTTAGCTAGGGAGTTACAGCCTGCCTCTCTGGCTTTCCTCCCTACTAGCTTGTAAACAAGCTCGCCTAGACAAAGCAGGGAGGAGCCAGGCTCAAACCTGAGGAACCACAGGTGGTACATGGGCCAGCTTCATCCTGGCAGCTTTAGGACTGAAAGAATGGCTCACAGATAGAGTGCTTGTATAGCATGTACAAGCAGTCCCATCCCCAGCGCCACAAATAGAATAATTTGTTTTCATCAGGCCTGATTGTTTATGCCTTTGATCCCAATACTCAGGCCTAAGAGGCAAAGGCAGGTAGATCTCTGTGAGTTCAAGCTAGCCAGTGACATCCTGTCTTTTTTGTTTTGTTTTTAATATGAAACGCCTCACAAATTTGCATGTCATCCTTGTGTAGGAGCATGCTAATCTTCTCTGTAGCATTCCAATTTTAGTATATGCTGCCAAAGTGAGCACGACACCCTGTCTTAAAGGGGGGGGGATCTACATGGCTTTGTCACGTAGAGGGTGAAAGCCAAGGAGCGGAGGCATGCCTGTAATTCCAGCATTTGGGAAGTGGAGGCAGGAGAATCAGAGTTTAAGGCCATCTTCAATTCTTTTTTTTTTTTTTTTGGTTTTTATGAGACAGAGTTTCTCTGTATCGTTTTGGAAACTGTTGGTCCAGCCTGGCCTCGAACTCACAGAGATCCGCCTGCCTCTGCCTCCCGAGTGCTGGGATTAAAGGCGTGCGCCACCACCGCCCCGCAAGGCCATCTTCAATTCTAATGAGTTTGAAGCCACCTGGGCTATATCTGTTTGTTGTTTGTTTTTCAAGACATGGTTGCTCTGGGTAGCCCTGGCTGTCCTGGAAGCTCTATAGATCAGGCTGGCCTCAAACTCACAGAGATCCACCTGCCTCTGCCTCCTGAGTGCTGGGATTAAAGACGTGCGCCACCACCACCACCACCAGGCTACATCTGTTTGTTGTTGTTGTTCATTTGTTTTGTTTCATTTTTTTCCTTAGAGAGAGTATGAGAAAGACCGACCGAGACCTGAAAGGTCTTCCAGTGGAGGTGACTAGGCTGTTAGAGACAATTCTAGGCTACCAGGTACCAGGACTGGCTGGGACTCCAGCAGTTGCTACCACCTGGGAATTTTGTTCTTGTGTTCAGAGTTGGTTCTTCCACACAGGCCTGCAACTCAACAGCTCTCCTGCCTGCAGCTCCCAAGTGTTTGCCTTGCAGTGTGAGCACCGGGCTGTGACCTAGCTATGCTCAGACCTAGCTGTGCACGGAAGAATGGGCTTTTCCCTGCTGGATCTGGCAGGGTTCTCAAAGCAGTTTCAGGATCTCAGCCTTAGGGGTAGATGGTTTTAATTTCCAGTTCCTGGAAGAGTTGGGGAAGTGGACTGGGGCTGTAATTTGACTTTTGGCTGTGTGATCCCCTGAAGACTGATAAGTGAGTTAGCTGACTGCGGAGGACAACCTGTAGGAGTTGGTCCTCTCCTTCCATCCTGTGGGCCCCAGGGATTGAACTCAGGTCATCAGGCTTGGCAGCAAGCACCTTTACCTACTTAGTGAGTCACCTTGCCAGCCCGTATGGGGTTCTTCTGAGTCAGACTCTAAGCCAAGCTGGCCTGTGTTTCCGTATGTAGTTCAGGCAAACCTTGAACTTTCGCCTCTGAGTGCTGGCTTTACAGACATGAATCATACCAACCTTTATTATTGTTAGGGCCAGACTAGTAGCCTGGGATGGGCTGCTTTTTAATGGGTTCAAAGGTTATTCTTGAGGCATTTGTCCTGAGAACAATGGAATGTGGGCTCTGCTCTATGCTAATTACTTGTAGGCTAGAGTTGGGATAAGCGTGTGGGTCTTGCCAAACCCTCCAAGAAGCCAGCCCAGCCCAAGCTGGTCCTTCCCCCCCCCAAACACACAAGAAGACTGGTGGATTTGTCTGGCTAGCCTCAGTCCAGGCTCTGAGATAAAGACTGTCTGAGGATTGAGTTCTCAGTTTATGGAGGGTGATTGTTGCTTCATTTGGAAGATGAGGTTGAGGAGATTAAATTTAGATCGTCAAGCTTGGTAGCGAACATCTTCACTCTCTGAGCTATCTTACTGTCTACTGCACTCCCCAACCCTTTCTTTCTCCTTGAGACAGAATCCCAGACTGAGAAGGACCTTGAACTCCTCATCCTCCTTCTACCTCCCAAGTGCTAGAATTGTAGGCATGTGGCATGCCAGGGTCCTTTTTCTTTCTCTCACTGTGTGGCCCGTGCTGGCCTAGAACTTGTAATCCTCCTGCCTCAACTTGCCATTGTTGGAATTGTGAGTTTGTGCCTGCTCCCCTTCTGCACTTGCCCTTCCTTTCCTACCAGGGTCTTGTGTAGGTCAAGCTGACCTCAAACTTACTGTGTGGCCAGAGATGGACTTGATCTCCTGACCCTCCTGCGTCTAGCTCCCGAGAGCTGGGGTTTCAGATGTGCACCACCGTGCGCAATTTCTTTTCTGTGGGATCAGACTCAGAGCTTCATGCATCTAGGCAAGCCCTCTCCCAGCTGAGCTATATCCCAATCCTGGATTTTCTTTCTTCTTAAAATATTCTTTATGACACTTCCTTATTGTGTATGTGTGTGCATGAGTTTCTGGGTTCTCTCCTTTCCACCATGTGGGTTCAGAGGACCAAATGCAGGTTGTCAGACTTAATGACAGAGACCTTACTTGCTGAGCCGTCCTCCAGGTCCAAGCTGTCGTTTTTTCTTCTGTGTCTGTCCTTGCCTGTAGGATTCGTGGGAAAGGAAGCAGAGGGCACTGTCCATCCCTGATCTTCTACTGTCTTTTCCCATTCTTTTAGAGACTGAGCGGCTGCTGACCCCCAATCCTGGGTATGGGTCCCAGGTGGGAACTTCACCAGCCCCAACAACACCCCCAGAAGATGAAGACCTTCGCCGACGCCTCAAGTACTTCTTTATGAGCCCCTGTGACAAGTTCCGGGCCAAAGGTCGTAAGCCCTGCAAGCTTATGCTACAGGTGGTCAAGATCTTGGTGGTCACTGTGCAGGTAAGACCAGCCAGGCAGGGTTTCTGCCAAATGCCACCGTTGCTACTGTTCTAGTCTTAGAAAGACCCCTTGCTGCTGGGTGGTGGTGGCGCATGCCTTTAATCCCAGCACCTGGGAGGTAGAGGCAGAGGATCTCTGTGAGTTCAAGACCAAGCCTGGTCTACCGAGCGAGTTCCAGGACAGCCTCCAAAACAATACAGAGAAACCCTGTCTCGCCTTTAATCCCAGCACTCGGGAGGCAGAGGCAGGCGGATCTCTGTGAGTTCGAGGCCGGGCTGGACCGATAGCCTCCAAAACAATACAGAGAAACCCTGTCTCGTAAAAACCAAAAAAAAAAAAAAAAAAAAAAAATGACCCCTTGCTGTCACATGACAATGACAGGGGTATTGACCAGTTAGGAAGGAGTCTAAGATTTGTGCTCAATAACTCCTTGTAGCTTCCCAGAAGCACTGGCCACATGGCCACACTCTTCCCTCCACTGTATACCCAAATGCCCTTGAGGCTCACACAGGTTAAGAATTGTGTGAAGTCACCCTGTGGCTGAGCTCTGGGTAGATGAGCTCTAGGTAGTCAAATCTGATGCTATCTTGATCTCCTCTCAGCAAAAATAGATCACAAAGTAGACCAATGGTACCTATCTTGGAGGCTTGAGTTTAGCACACTACCTGTCAATCAGTAAACATATGCTGACCATTCACGTACTAGTACCCACCTTGTGCTGTGCATTGGGGATGCTTTGATGAGTGTAGCATGGAATTTCAGGAGTGAGAAGTGAAGAGGACTGCGTTACTCAAGGCAGAAAAGGAAAAGTACAAGGAGCTAGTATGTAGGCTGGTTTTTATATGACTTGACACAAGCTAGAGTCAGCGGATAGGAGGGAACCCCAATTGAGAAAAGGCAATCGTAAGATCTGGTTGTAAATAAGCCTCTTGAGCATTTTCTTAATTCATGATCATTGAGGGAGGGCCCAGCCCACTGTGGGTGGTTCCCTCCCTTGGCTGGTGGTCCTCGGTTCTACAAGAAAGCAGCTGAGCAAGCCATGGGGAGCAAGTCAGTAAGCAGCACCCTCCATGGCCTCTGCGTCAGCCCGTGCCTCCAGGTCCTTGCTCTGTTTGAGCTCCTGTCCTGACTTTCATCAATGAGGGATTATGATGTGGAAGTGTAAGCCAAGCAAACCCTTTCCTCCCCAGGTTGCTTTGGTCATGGTGTTTCATCACGATAGAAACCCTAAAGCAACTGGGAATGTGTTTCAACTGGTAGAACGTTTGCCTGGTGCGCATGGAGCCCTAGGTTTCATCCCCAGTACTGCATAAGCCGGGTGTGGTGGACACTGTCGTCCCAACACGGGAGGTAGATCCAGGGGGATCAGGGGTCAAGGTTATCTTTGAATAACAAGTTACAGGCTCCCCTCTGCAGTGCCGCCAGGGCCTTGTCTCAGCCCAGGGGACATATCTTGGATTCTCTTTTCCTTCTTCCTTTACCTGGGCCTTCCTGAGTTGTACTCTCAGGGCCAACCTCTAGCTTCTTCTTGGCAGCTCATTCTCTTTGGGCTCAGCAACCAGCTGGTGGTGACATTCCGGGAAGAGAACACTATTGCCTTCCGACATCTCTTCCTGCTGGGCTACTCTGATGGGGCGGATGACACCTTTGCTGCCTACACACGGGAACAGCTCTACCAAGCCATCTTCTATGCTGTGGACCAGGTATAGTGAGCAGGTGTGAGAAGGTTAGGGGAGTACCATACGGAACAGGTGGGCCTGATAGACCCTCTTCTCCTCTACCCACAGTACCTGATACTGCCTGACATATCCCTGGGCCGGTATGCCTATGTCCGTGGTGGGGGTGGCCCTTGGGCCAATGGCTCGGCTCTGGCTCTCTGCCAGCGGTACTACCACCGTGGCCATGTGGACCCAGCCAATGACACCTTTGACATTGACCCAAGGGTAGTCACTGGTGAGTAGCCAGGGCAAGGTCTAACTTTGGGGAGTTTAGGTTTCCAGGATTAAAACCTGACTTCTGGGCTAGAGAGCTCAGCAATAGAGAGCCTGCCTAGAATCCCCCAGTCAGAGACTAAAGGCAAGGCGGGGAGGGGGGGGAGGAAAATAGAGAAGCAGAAAGAAAGATCTAAAACCCTGACCTTGTCAGCCATCCGTCTGTGTGATCAGATTGCATAATTTGACATGTGCAGCATGCTTAGTGGAGTGCATGCCACGGGAAGAGCCAGGCGTTGTTTTTAATACCTTCTACCCTCTAAGCTTTTGAGGGCCTGTGGAATGCTGTGGTCACTACAGAGCATGAGGTAGATCACACCCTGGTTTGGGTGGAGGCAGCAAAAGGTTAGGTGTGAAGGGAAGGGCTGGAGGTGTAGCTCTGGTGGACTCTGGCCCAGCATACAAATTCTAGGCTTGATCCCTAGTG